CCAAATAGCAAATAAATGTTAGAGAAGGATTTTAAAGAACTCCAGTATCACAGTCTGCCACATCATCACATCATTACATGTTTGTGAATAAGGAGACATCGCTGGCTACAGACATATGAAAACAATACAGTGTAGGGCTGCAACTAACGATTATTTTAAAAATCGATGAATCGGCCGATTATTTTTTCGATTAATCGATGAATCGGACAAAAAATATTTTTTATATTAACCTTTTTATTCCAAAATAAACATTTTAGACAGAACAAACAAGCACACAAGTACAGGTTGCTCATTAACTGTACTGGTACAATATGAAAAATAAATGTTACGCAAACTTACATGAGAAATGTAGCTGTACATTCACAAAATATAGGCTACTTTGTTTCATAAAGCACAAAAAAAGACATTTTTGTTTTTAAAGCCCCTAAGGGGTTCAAACAATAGGTCCCCCCATTTAAACAAATGAGTTTTTTTTTAGACTAGAAGAGTTCTGCCTTTTAAGACAGGAAAGTATAACAGTTAAAGATGCTACTTGAGAAAATACTGAACCATAGAGATAAAAAATAGCCCTGTGATTCAAATTATAAATTGTATTTGGAATAAAAATGAGAGAACTAGGGGTGGTAAAAAACACATCCTCCAAAGACAGATATTTACATGGGAATGTGGCATATAATTAATTGACATATTACTAATCCTGCTGGATTTTATTCTGCTTTACTTCCATAAATTGCAGGATCTTCTTTTCTTTATCTTTGCCAGAAGATTTACACTTTAAAAGCCTTGCCCTCATAATTTGCAAGTTAATTTATTTATAAAGAAAATATAAACGGTGCTTAAGCTAATTCAAATGAAATCAAAAGTAAAATAAGTAGCCAACCTTATCCCTGTCTGTAACCTACTAACAAGGTAAGGAAATTATCAGATGAGCTACCTGAGAAACTAACGTTACGTTTCCCCACTTTAAAACCAAACAAACATGGTTACTCATCCTGCTGATCAGCTCTCTTCACTGCCATTGAAGGCTCCAACGTGTTTTCTTTTCAGGTGCTGCATCATAACAGTGCTGCTTCCGTGCCATGTTAATTTGTTTTGACAAAAGTTGCATGTTACGACTTTTTTCACTTTACAAAGCGCAGGCTATTTTAATTATTGTGATCAATTTGCGCCGTCAATCCCGGAGCATGCGCGCTTCATTTGCAGTCTGGACGCTGAGGGTAAACATCCTGCGGCTCTGAGAGCAGCGCTGAGAGGGACTCCTGCGGGAGAACGGGGTTGGGATGGGGTAGGCGCCCCACGGCAGAGTAGGAACGATACATGCTTTCACATAAGAGTCTCCAAAAGCCGCCAGTGACACCGTAAAAAGTCGCCAGATTTGTCGCTAGTTGCTTTTTTGAAAAATAGTCGCTGGAGTAGTCTGAAAAGTCGCTAAATATAGCGACAAAGTCGCCGAGTTGGCAACACTGCACCTGCGGCGCTGACTCGCTCTGACGTATTTTTTTTTTCTTCCCCCGTTTCAGTCAAGTGGATGTGATGACGGCGGCGGCGGATGACGCATTAATCGCGTGACACAACTAATCGATGATGAAATTCGTTGCCAACGCTTTTAAACTTCGATTTTTATTGATTCGTTGTTGCAGCCCTAGTTCAGTGTATTTAAATATTATTAGTGTAGTTAAGAGTAATAGAATACTCTGATAGGCGGTACCGTATGCACAGCCACCCATACATTTTTTTTGTTTGTCATTACTATTTACAGAAACATATTTCTACAGGCAGGAGTGGACTGGTACAAAAAAATTGGCCCTGGCATTTTGGACTAGACTGGCCCATCACATTTCTTTGGGTGTACTGAATGTTTATACCATCTGTGCAACACCAGCTGTGCAACACCTTGAGGCCAGGTTCATGAAAATTAGTGAGAGTGGACACTTAAAATACTTCCAAAATCTTAATTTATTAACACTGTAAAATGTAAACTCCACCACAGCAACAGTTCTTAGATCAGGGAGAGGGAGAGAAAGAGAGAGAGAGTGAGAGAGAGTGAGTGAGTGAGTGAGTGAGTGAGAGAGAGAGAGAGAGAGAGAGAGAGAGAGAGAGAGAGAGAGAGAGAGAGAGAGAGAGAGAGAGAGAGAGAGAGAGAGAGAGAGAGAGCTCACAGGAAAAGGATGCCAATGACAAATTGATGAATCATTAGAAATCCTGTCAGAGAGGAAGCACTCAGTGTAGGCTACAAAAAAATCATTAGCCATTAGTGCTAGCAGGAAGTTTATGGGTAGCAGCACCTGTGTTTACTAAACTAACTTTACCATGGAACATTAACCAACATATTTTTAATGGGGTTATTAAATCATATTCATCAAGGGGTTGGTTGGTTTATCCTATCATCATTACCAGACATCCCAAGTTCCAAAAACTAATTTCAGGGAGATGCTTGTACCCCAACCGCCCACCCCCCAGGGAACAACAGACCCACACCGTGCCCCATACATACACACTGAAGGCCAGCAACTTTTCAACAACTGATATAATTATAGGAGATATTATTATTAACTAACAGTAATTTCTTAAACACTAAACAGAACAGTAGAGGTCTTTTATTTTTAATACTTTCAATCTTGTAGCCTTTAACATCAGCTGTGTTTTCTGTTTTTCATGGAACTTCAGCATACAGTTCACCTCGCCACGGTGTCATCATTCCTCACCATGGCCGGTTCTAGACAGGGGCCAACGGGGGCCAGTTCCCCTGTAGATCATGTCCTGGCCCCTGTAATGGCCCCTGTACTGAAGACATAATACTTAAAAGAAATTCTAATAATGATCTGGGCTGGAACAGACATGATTACTGATAGGTCCTTTGGATCTATTTTATTATTTTTCTTTACAAATTCTGTTTTACTAATTATTCAAAAACAATAAGGTGATAGCTTCAGTGATATTAAGATAGGCTGCCAGTTTTCATCTACTAAATGTTTTTTTTCCACAGCAAATACTTAATAAAATGCTCTAATTTTTACAGATGAATTTAACAGTTGAGTTTCAATTCAAATTAATAGAAAACTAGTTTTAACTTAAATTAAGTAAAAAAACATGTAAAATTCCTACATTTTAAATGTATATTGACCTCATAAGAAAAACAATTTTTATTGAACCTAATTGAAAAGAAATTTCACTTCATGCAGCTCTCTTAATATATTTGAATCTCTTGCCCTGTTTTTCATTTGATGCTTTTTTGTGCCCCCATGAAAACACGCTGGCCCCCTCCTGGCCCCCCTGGTACATTTGGTCTAGATGTTTTCGTAACCAGAGAAACTTATCGGATTGATCCAATCAGCTCTCTGATCAACCAGTCGCCTGGAACGCTGTTCGAACAGAGCATCGCTTTGGACAGATACGCTGCACAGCTTTCACCTTGTTAGCTGGGCCATCGCAGTAATTCTAATCCGCACATGATGCATGAATCATTGCATTGCCTGCACGCTCTCACTCGCATTAAAAAAACACCACCTCACAGAGTCTAAAATCCGGGATCATTTATCAGACTAGCGGGCAACAACTATCGATATCAGGGAGACTCCCGGAACTTCCGGGAAACTTGGGATGTCTGCATTACATAGTTTGGGGCTCTGAAAACTGTCCGGCTTACCGCAGGTTCTACTACTGCAGCAGCCGCACTGACATGTTCACTGCTCGGTTCGCCATCGCCTCCGCTACAACCACCACCACCACCATCATAATTTACTTTAGACACTGGAGCAGATGAAGGGCCTGCTAATGGGAACACGTCAGTCAGTTTGACACATTTCGCTGCGTCCGTTTGAAGAACTCGTTTCTTTGCGTTTCTTATCCATTACTACTGTGAACACCGCTGCACAAAGTTCCAATGGAGAGTGAAGGTGTTTTTCTACTTTGTGATTGGCCTAGCCCTTTAGACTGTCAGTGATGATAACCAATGAGCTGCAGTAGCCTGTGGTAAGAGCCGGATGATCGGAACAGACTCTTGTGCTGCTGACTTTATTTTTCTTCATGCATTATGCAAATATAACGAGGCCGATAGATAATAGTAATGATAAAAAAATAAAAAATAATCATAATAATACATATTATTAATATACATGTCGGGTCTGCCGGCCCAAACAGCACGTCGGCCCATCGGGCAAATGCCCAGTACGCCCGACCAGTCCATGACTAACTAGAGGTATATACAAATATAATGTGTGTTTTTACTATACTGTAAAAATGTCCAAAGCTGTATATTGATTATCTATTCTTCAGCTGCAAAGTATTTATATTTGCAAAAACACTGTACAGTACAGTTTATTTATTTTCTTATATGCATTTATATTGTATGTAAACGTTATTTTTTGCAATGTTTAGCTTTTTTGTTTTTTTATTTATACAGTTTTATGTTTTCCTTATTTGTTTTTTTTTTGACTCTTTCACTTATTCTATTATTTTTCTACACTTTTTAATCTTTTGCTGCTGTAACTCCACTATTTCCCCACAGTGGGAGATTCTATTCTATCTATTCTGCTGTTTATTTAGTAATGTCTTCCAAAGCTCTGATGCCCTCATGAAGTTCTCCCTCCAGCCCTGATGTCAACAGTCTGTTGATTTAAACAAAACACGCTGCAGTGCTGAGGCATCCTTCTAATGTTCTGCATAGAGCAGCAGGTCGACCTCCCCAAGATGGCGGCCGTAATTTCTGCGCAGCCAGTCCATGCGGGGTCTACTCTTATATTATGTCCATGACTGCAACGGCTTTTTCCGAGTGCAGTGAACTCGGAGGGAAGAAGAGGTTTAACTGGAGCAAATTACTAACTAGACCGCAGTCATTAAAACCCAATGCTGTAAGTGAGCGAACTGACCGCAGTAAGATGGCCGCCAGAAATCCGCTTTAGCTAAGCATCTTGATCTCCTCTAATCAATTTTCCAATCAGATGAGGCTAAAATCCACAGTGTGCATCATCAGGGAATCGTTTCTATCAGGTGTTTCCTACCTATCCGGTGTAAGATGATCTGGGGGATCCTGGTGAAATCCAGCAGTAGATGTTGATCGTCCATCTTTTCCTCCGAATTGACCAAACTCCCTTTTAACTCCGTGAATGTTTCTTCAGCAGGAGTTAACTGCTCGGTGATAAACTCTCCTTGAAGCTGGACTGAAGACATTCTCAATGCAAACACTCCCAGATTATCACCCTCTCTACAATGATTCCACACACAAGCTAAGCTAATGCTGCTAATGCTACCTGATCCCTACCAGCAGCCCATTGCGCATGCGCAGCTACCTCTACATCCGGCTCATCCTGGTTATTGATGTGGATTTAACGTTGCTGTTTAAACAGAAAAACAAGGACAATATTTCAGATTCAGTTATCGTTCAACAATGTTTAGATGAAAAATACTATGGATATTTGTTTTATTTATGGATACATTTCTACGGATGCTTCAAAAGATTCAATAACAGGAATGGTGTTTACTTTGTAGTTCCAGAATTTAATTTTAAATCAGGTAGAAGAATCAGAAGAGTTTTGGAAATGCTGCGTAGACACTAAAAAAACTTTGAGCAACATGTACCCATGAATGCCCAATTCAAAAACCAATCAAAACGCTTCTCACTCAAATTTTGGACCTTGAGTGCGAGGCCAGACGGGCTTTCATTGATGCTGAAGTTTTGAGGGAAGAAGACGACCTACAAAAATCTTTGATGCTTAGAGTGTCCCAATGACCTTAGGAGCTATGCTGTCTGGGGGGTTTATGCCCCCTCATAGGGCAGACAGGTCCTAGGTGAGGGACCAGACAAAGAGCAACCTAAAGGCCTCTTATGATGAGAAAGACAAATGGATCTAGTGCTCCCTGGCCCGGACGCGGGTCACCGGGGCCCCACTCTGGAGCCAGGTCTGGAGGTGGGGCCAGCTGGCGAGCGCCTGGTGGCTCAGGCGTTTACCCATGGAGCCCAGCTGGGCACAGCCTGAAGAGGAAACATGGGTGTTGTCGGAAAATTTTGATTTTTCTTTTATTATATATTAATTTATCCTATTTAGTCACTATAAAAGTTTTCACTCAGTCTGTTTCTCTCTCAAGGCCACAGAATTCCCTGCAGGATGGTGTTTGTAGACCAGACATAGCTTCTTCCCATAACAAATCAGATTCTTTCTCAAGGTTTATTCATAACATGTTACTGTTTAACCCAAGTGTCTTCTACTTCTACTACTACTTTTCCATTGTTGTAAGTAAGGGGGAACAAATGTTGCTCTAGCAGAACAGGGCAGGATGCTATGCCATAAGGGCTGTATGATGACTGTTCTGTCTTTGCAAAGATATGAATAAATGTGCAGACTAAGTCAAATCCATCAATCTCCATTTATTTAACTAGGGTGAATAGTTGAATACTTTTTCCGACGTCAGTGGGTCCCCCTTCCAATGGGCTCACCACCTGTATGAGGGGCCAAATGGGTCGGGTGCAATATGTGATGGCCTTTCTGATCCTCGGCTGAAGGAGCTGGCTCTTGAGACATGGAATGTCACCTCTCTGGTGGGAAAGGAGCCTAAGCTATTGTGGGAGGTTGAAAGGTTCCAGCTACAGATAGTCGGACTTACCTTGGCACATGGCTCTGGCTCTGGAACCAATCTCTATGAGAGGGGCTGCACATTCTTCCACTCTGGAGTTGCCCCTGGTGAGAGGGGGCCTCAACATTGGTGCCTGTACGTTGGGGTTCACACCGGTGAATGAGAGGGTTGCCTCCCTCCGCATATGTGTGGAGGGACGGGTTCTGACTGTTGTTTGTGTTTATGCATCAAACAGCAGTTTAGATCACCCACCCTTTTTGGAATCTTGTGGGGGGTGGGGGGGTACTAGAGAGTGGGCCTCCTGGGGACTGCCTTGTTCTTCTGGGGGACTTCAATGTGCACGTGGGCAATGACAGTGAGACCTGGGGAGGCATGGTTGGAAGGACTGGCCCACCTGACCTGAAATCGACTGGTGTTCTTTGGTTTGACTTTTTTGTTCGTCAAGGATAGTCCATAACGAACACCATGTTCAAGCATGAGGGTGCCCATATGTGCTCTTGGCACCAGGACACCTGCCGCATGTCTTGCACACTTGGGTGAAGAGAGGGGCAAAGCTCTCCACCGACCACTACCCAGTGGTGAGTTGGCTCTGATGGAGGGGAGGGACGCCAGTTAGACCTGGTAGGCCCAAACTTATTGTGAGGGTTTGCTGGGAACGTCTGGCAGAGTCCAGAGAAGGAGCTTAAACTTCCACCTCCACTTTGAACATGTTCCAAGGGAGGTGGGGGATATTGAGTCTGAGTTGACCACATTCAGTGCCTCTATTGTTGAGGCGGCTAGTCAGAGCCGTGGCTTCACAGTTGTCTGTGCGGCAACCCTCGAACACGCTGGTGGACGCCAGTGGTGAGGGAAGCTGTCGAGCTAAAGAAGGAGTCCTATCAAGCTTTATTGACCTGTGGGACTCCAGAAGCAGCTGATGTGTATCGGCAGTCAAAGCGGCATGTGGTTCGGCTGGTCACTGAGGCAAAAACTCAGGCATGGGAAGATTTCCGAACGGCTTGGAAGCAATTCTGGTCCACAATCCAGCATCTCATCGGTGGTAAGGCCCCAGGGGTGGATGAGATTCGCCCTGAGTACCTTAGAGCTCTGGCTGTTGTGGGGCTGTGTTGGTTAACGCGACTGCAACATTGCGTGAACATCAGGGGCAGTTCCCCTGGATTGGCAGAGTGGGGTGGTGGTCCCTCTAATTAAAAAGGGGATCTGAGGGTATGTTCCAACTACAGAGGAATCACAATCTTAAGCCTCCCTGGTAAGGTCTATTCCGGGGGTTCTGGAGAGGAGAGTCCGTCGGATAGTCGAATCTCGGATTCAGGAGGAGCAGTTGGCTTTTCGTCCTGGCTGTGGAACAGTGGATCAGCTCTACACCTTCAGCAGGATCCTGGAGGGTGAATGGGAGTTTGCCCAACCAGTCTACATCTGTTTTGTGAATCTGGAGAAGACCTTCGACCGTGTCCCTTTGGGGTTCCTTCGGGGTTCCTGTGGGGGGTACTCCTGGAGTATGGAGTACCGGGACCTTTAATAAGGGCTGTTAGGTCTCTGTACGATCAGTGTCAGAGCCTGGTCTGCAGTGCCGGCAGTAAGTCGGACTCGTTTCCAGTGAGGGTTGGACTATGCCAAGGTTGCCCTTTGTCACCAATTCTGTTCATAACTTTTATGGACAGAATTTCTAGGCGCAGCCAAGATGTTGAGGGGATCTGTGCACTGTACTGGTCTGTTGTGTTGAAGAGAGAGCTGAGCCAAAAAGCTAAGTTCTCGATTTACCGGTCGATCTACGTTCCTACTCTCATCCATGGTAATGAGCTTTGGGTCATGAACGAAAGAATGACAACCCGGATACAAGAGGCTGAAATGAGTTTTCTCCGTAGTGTGTCTGGGCTCTCCCTTAGAGATAGGATGAGGAGCTCAGTCATTCAGGGAGGACTCCGAGTAGAGCCGCTGCTCCTCCACATCAAGAGGAGCCAGTTGAGGTGGCTCGGGCATCTGGTTAGGATGCTTCCTGGACGTCTCCCTGGTGAGGTGTTCCAGGCACGTCCCACCGGGAAGAGGCCCAGGGGGAGACCCAGGACACGCTGGAGGGACTATGCTTCTTGGTTGGCTTGGGAGCGTCTTGGGGTCCCCCCCGGAGGAGTTGGCCCAAGTGGCTGGGGAGAGGGATGTCTGGGCCTCCCTACTGAAGCTGCTACCCCCGCGACCCAACGCCGGATAAGTGGAAGAAAATGGATGGATGGATGGATGGATGGATGGATGGATGGATGGATGGATGGATGGATGGATGGATGGATGGATGGATGGATGGATGGATGGGTGGGGTGGGGTGGTAGTAGAATTATCAATCGTTGATTGACTCTGTCTATGGCAATTGATGAACTAATTAATGGGATTAATAGTTTCTTTCATATGGATTCTTTCTCATATAGGCATAAAAGGGAATGAGATGGCTGATAAATATGCAATACAAGCTACTAAAAGCAGTCAAATTGATATAATAGAACCATTTAGTAAAGGTGAAATGAAATCAGTAATTAAGCTAAAAGTTAGAGCAAGATGGCAGAATTATTGGGAATAAGAAAGAACTGGTGAAATAGTATTGCATTATGAGGAAAACATAAAGAAATAGAAAGAAAGAAATAATCAGATCAAAATTCTACTTTGGTCATACAAGTTTAAATAGGAAATCACAAGGAAATGTGATTTTTATTTTCAGGAAGAATCAGTGGAACATGTTTTATTGTTTTACACAAAATATGTAATTGAGAGAAATGAATTGTTAAATAGATTATAAACTAATAAATAAAAGCTTAACATAAAAGACTTTTAGACATGGACTCTAAATCAGAGTGTTATTCTTAATTAATATTGCGATAACTTGAAATGACCAATTTCAAGAAGATTTAGTTTTTAGGTTTTTTTTGTAGTAATAGTAGTAGGATATTGTATTAGTTGAATCCTGATCCACACTGCATTTCAGTTGGTGGCTGTAATGCACCAAAACTTCAATTAAATTAAATTCAGTTTATTTATATTCTTATATTTATATTCACAACACATGTCATCACAAGGCACTTTACAGTTCACCAGATCATACAATCAATTTGAGTTTTCTATCTAAGGAAAACCCGTTGATTGCATCAACTCGTTGACTTGAATGCAATCCCTCACACTAAGCATGCTTGTAGAGACTGTGGAGAGGAAAAACTCCTTTTTAACAGGAAGAAACCTCCAGCAGAACCAGGCTCATTGTGAGCGGCCATCTGCTGAGGCCCACTGGGGTTCAAGGAGACAGAAGCAGAGACACAAAAAGCAGCTGTAAAAGGTGGCCCCATCCAGGAAACACACAGCCAGGCAGACGAGCTCCGAGCCAACTCCCATGTCAAAGGATGAAGAGAGCATATCGCGCCAGTCACAGTCTGAGAAACAGGACTACACTGGAAAAAAGGCCAATCTCCAACATCTATAAACAAGGGTGTTGTTTGCTGTTGTTATAAG